TTGTCTTTTCCGTTCTTGTGGTGTAGCTACACCAGTGCCACACTTCCGTACACCGAAATAATTTAAGGTGTAGATGTCGGATGCACTTTTGTTTACAAACAAATTATGTTGAGATGTCAATTACTTGCACTTATTCTTGCTTACACTACACCGATGCGACACCGCAAAAACGAAAACGACATTTGAAACCAAGAGCAAATTTTCATTACGTCGAATGTAACAAAGGTAAACAAAGTCGAGCTATCAGTGTCAATCGATGCTCCTGCTATCACACTATATACTGTCCGAATATAGGATCACATCCCATTTTTAAATTTATTTACCAGTCGAATTGCTTTTTGACGTAATCACCTTCCGATCAAAATAGTTTTCGATGTTACTTAAGTCACCCAATTTCTATGGAGATGCCGTTTGACTTAAGTAACAGTGCTGAGAAACCCGTGAAAAGTGTACGTTCGTCGTTTCGCTTTCTCATTATTAAAGTGAATAAATCGAACTGTTTGTTGCTAAGATGATTTCGGTGGTCCTAAAATGATGAATGGGCTGCACGTAAGGAGACGTAATTGATAATTCTCCCGAATATCCTGGTAAATACACTTTGACTTAAGTAACAATAGGGGCCACCAAACGACGTATAATAACTTTTGACTCAAAAACCAGTATTTCTTAGCATGAAAGCTAGCGATTTGCCTTTGTATGATTAAAACCCGGCTAAATATGTTAAACATTGCTATCACTATGAGATTATATGTGTTTAATTGGAAATAGGAATAACTTTTCGGTCATCAAAACAAAACTTTATTTTTCTCGGATCGGTGCGAATGTTACTTACGACATAATGAAAATTTGCTCTTGAAACCTTGTTCATTTGACAGCTGTGATGGGACTTCTTCTTCTTGGAATTATTCCGTAAAAGGTAAATAAATCTCTGGAAATTCAGGGCAGTTCGTAGAACAACGCTGGATTTCATATATTTTCGATAAAAAATCAAAAAAGTTCTTTTGATCTTTTTCAAGATTTCAGTTAGATCAAATATTATTCTGATGACCTGCAAAAATGTATGTATGTTAGAAACCACCATCCAGCTTAGGTCTTGCTCTGCATGCGGCTTCACAGCAAGATCAAATGCCGTTAGCGTTCTGAATTCAACATACTGCCGTATGAGGGGGTTGGACGGGCCCATAAGATGATACTTACGTGAACCCCTCGGGAATAAGAAAATCTTCTACCAACAGTATGATCCAACAAAATAAATAAAGGAATTCACAATACATGTAGGATAAGGTGGGGTAATACGCATAATGTGGCTTATTTACGTGTTTTTCAAAACAAATTTAATGTGTTTTCAGCCATAATCACTAGAAGAACTGCTGAACTATCATATGGGAAATTGTTTATATTAATTAATCTTTGAATATCACGAGAAAAAACTATGTTGGTCATATTACCCCGCGGCGCGTATTACCCCATCTTACCATATTGCGAATTTCCCACCAAACGGGGCAAATAAGTGCATTTTCCATTATTCCTTATTAAGCGATAAATAAGTGCTCCGAAGACAACAAAACGATTTGACGTAAGCATGCATTTTTATGGTACTTTAGCATTTATATACTCGCAAAGATGCTATAGATTTAGATGCTATTCAATTAAGTTGTGTCAGGGCAACTTGTTTTTGGGTATTTTTTCTGTAACCAATAATATGACATTAAGGCTTACTATTATTTTAATAGTGAAACAATAAATTTGATTATATTTATTTCATAACAACGATTGGGACCTTGATTTTAGGAGCCTTAAAAGCTTACTGATTTTGAACAAGCAATCTTCGTGCTTTTTTAATGAAATCACACGTTCGGATCTCATAAATATAAGCATATCAATCTTAAGAAAATTCTCAGAGTTAAGTAATTTCTTGAATTAAAAAAAATATATTTAATTTTAAATTTTTCATCATCAATTAAAACTCAGAAATAATAACCAAAACTAAATTGTAGAAGATTGAATTACATAATTTTCTAAAATTCTTACTGAACATGGTAAAGTGCACACATAATAAATATCATACATTTAGGACTTAGGAAAATGTTCAACATGTAGGGGAAATGGCTTTAATGTTGGCCTATGAATCTAAGATTGGGCCAATCGCTAAAAATCTGCTATTTATCAATTATTTATTATTATTTATTATCGCGTCATTACACTATAGGAAATCAGGCGGACAAAAATAGGAAAATTGACTTTTCCTAACTCAGATTCTAGAATACTCTATCAATAGTAAACACTTTGACTAAGAAGTTCCCAAAATTTTAGGTGTCTACGATTGGTAGTTTTAGAGATATTAAACTTTAAAAGCTAGTTTTTGCTTTAAAAACAAGCCCACATTAAAATATTATTTTATAATTTATTTAACAGTTATTCCTATGTTTTTACATACTATTAGAAAGCGTATGAAAAGAACTTTCAATGAAAATGCAATATAATACGAAGGAATAATTTTAAAAAATTACAAAAATAAAAAATGATGGATATAACAAGAAAACCATCAAAATAATTTTTTTGTTCGTCAGCCATTTTTTTCCCAAACATTCCCAAGTCATTCTATGCTCCATGATCGAGTTTTATGTGTATTTTATCGAGTTATGAAAAAAATTGCGCAAACTTGCGCCATTTGGAAATAAATCGTTTTCAAAAATTAGATTAGATTAGCTGATGTTCATGTAATAGAGCAGTTTACGATTATGATGAAACTTTGCCCAGTTTTCGTTATTGCCCAACATGCCATTTTACATATATGGTTCGCTAGTTTTGCACACGACTAACACTTGAAAAGGGCTTATGCAAAAATGATACGCATCAATAGAAAATTTATATCTCGTGAACGATTTGTTTGATCGAGATGGTGTCTTAAAAGAAGTTGCGGACAAGTATTTTGCCTTCCAAAAAAAATATACACTGTAAAAAATTATATTTTTTTTCCCAAAAAAATCAAAATTATCAAAAATTAATTAAAATCACCCAAATTGCATATATTTTTAAATTATTTTTTATATTTATTTTGTAGTTTAGATAAACTGTGCATTTTCTGGGCAAATCATAAACAAAAAAGTTATGAATTATTGAAAAAATAAGTATTTTCCAAAATACCACCTACAGTTATCGAATATCTTTAAAATAGTGTTAATATTAAAACACATTGAATTTACAACAAAAAAGCCCGTAATGCTTAAATTGCCCAAAGTTGCTATTTTCGAGATACTCGTAGGTTAAAATTCACTTATCGCACAATTTGAGTAATTTTCGCTCTTTTGATATGTTCAATCTTGAAAATATTTTAAACAAAAAGCCCAATTAATTTCCTTAAACTTTGCTGTTCACAGTTTTTTTAATCATACGCATGAGTTAAGATATAATTGTTTGTATTGCTGTTTACAGTTTTTTAATCATACGCATGAGTTAAGATATAAATGTTTCATATTATTTACAATCCATGCATTTTTTTCGCACGAACAATTCGTACCTATCTTATGAATCAACCGTAATGAGCATGACGACGCTTCGTAAAATACACGAATACTACGAAGTAAACGATTTCTGGAATCTAAACGAAACTAGATTCTTACAAAGTACGAATCTATTTCGCTGCAGATAACAACGAATAGATTCGTTGCACAAATGAGCGCGTTCGTTGTATGAACTAAATTTTATTTTCAGTGAATATGCTTAGACAAGCTTTAAATCTCCTGGACTTCAAAATTCGTCATTCAAGATCTTGGGAAGCTTACCTAGATTCTGAGACTTGCAGCATTTTTCGAGATAAGAAAGTAATAAAAATTTAAGATTAAAAATTTCGAAAAATCTTGACATTTGACAAAAAAAAATGAGAAATCAGGTTATAATTTAATTTCATTCGGTTTTTAAGATACCGGCTTTCGAAAGTCATTAGCATTAGATTCAATTAGCTAGAAAACATTCGAATACTTCCTGAACAACCTACAATCTTGTAAGAATATTTGAATGTTTAAACAGTTGGAGATTCTCAGAACTTGATCAACCTGAAGTCTTTGAAAAATATCCAGAGAACTTTACTAATATCTTCGTCTATATGGAGATCTTTTGAATATTTCCTGCTGCCTAGGAAGGATGGCTCAAAGAATATCCTGTAACTTATTCAACATTTACAAAACTCCCTGAAGTTTTACAAAATGTCCTCAACTTGTACGAAGTTTCCTGAAGTTATTCCAAATTCCATATTATTTACATTTCTCGTAATTCTACGAAGATCTCTGAACATCTTTCCTCTTCTGGAAAGACACCTATCATCTACAAATATTTTTGGACATCTGGAAAGTTCCTTGAAATTTAACATAGTTCCCACAACCTCCATAACCTCCTCCTTTTTTGAAATAAGATATCTAACAAACTGCAACGAAGTTGCTTAAACTGGAGCGAACGCCCTTAAGTTCTTAGTAGGTTTATTGAGCTATTTCTGGAGGGGGCCTGGCCTCTTTGGCACCCCAATTAGTTACGCCAATGATGACGTACTAAATGGATTTTGCCTACGATGATCTTCTGGATTATTTTCCATACTTTTTCTGTCCCTAATTCATGTGTCGACTCATGAAGTTTTGGCTATGGTATGATAAACGCGTGTTAAGAGTTAGCACCCAAGAGCTAAGTTGATCAATTATCAAATGCGTGTTTAAATGGACTCAACTAGCACCGATCACACTGACTCTACGCAGCGCTACGTTTGATGCGTTCCAGAATAGAAATGATCACTATCTTTTCTAATTGAGGATAATTGCACACACAACATCCCATCAAAATTTACGACAAATCCCACTTTTCCGCTCATGGGAAACTTTTACGACTGATCGCACAATGGAATTCACTTAAAATTAAACCGATCAAATTCGTAAGGCGTAAAACCACCAACTACGTACTACTTCGTAGCCACGAGCAACCAAAACAAAAGTCACAACAGCTCACAAACTCACCTCCTCCGCAGCACAGGAAATTGAAACCCATCAGCAGCAGTAAAATCCAAATCCCATTATCCCAAACTTTCTCTGCACAAAGCTTCTCGTATAGAAGTAAAACAAAAAACAACAACGACACTTGGCACAACAGTGGCTTAACGGTTCACTACTTCTATACTTATTTCGTCTTATTGGTGGTTTACCACAGACCAACCCGTATGGCCTCTCTTCGCTCTCTGGCACACTCCACTGGTAATGCTACTTTACCCTTCTTCCACTAAAACAGGAAAGCAACGGTTTCTGTGAGGCACCACGCAGAATTGCAAACAAACTTTCTTATATTCATCATCAGCACAAACTACGCACAACAAATTCGCAGCTCCCGTTTTTGCCAAAAAAAAAAACCACCACGATTATGATGACGTTTTGCTCCACATTCACTGAATCACTGAACACTCTCGACTACTACGCGTCGTCTTCCGACAAGGCTGCGCTACAATAACAACAGTGTAACACATTCAACTTCTGCTGGGGACTTCCTCCTGAATGCACGAAATGCAGACTACAGTAGTACTTCTGGTGCTTTGCTCTTTCGGGCTTGAGAACGAGTGTTTCCTCGCGTAACTTCTGGCGCATACTATTGGCTGATCGACCAAGAAAACAAGTCAGTACCACTATCCCCATCAACCTCCGTGACGACTCTGTATTAACGGCAACAACCAACAACAACAACAACCACCGAAACAGCTACATACAATAGTGTAGTTGGCACCCAAGAGAAAGAAGAAAACTCGTAAACAAAAATAGAACAGTGTTGTGTTTTCTGGCTTCGTGTGTAATAATAATACGCGGTCTGTTTACGGCAACAGCTGGTGCTGATATGAAAGCGGGTTTCTCCGTCGCTTAGTTGGTTAGCAGCAGCTTTTGTGTGCCTTCTCCATGCTGCGATGCGTCCCTCTGGTAGCCGCAGTAGGCTGTAGGTTCATTTCGCGTCTTTTGCACGAATTAAATGTAAACTGCCATCGTCGCCGTCGTTGTCGTTGTTGATGGCAAGCCAAAGCCAGACACATTGTGGGTTGGTGGTTGTACCGTATTAAACTTCTACACTAAGCTGCCCTGTTGTCGGTGCTGCTGCCCCAATCGTATAGATAGGTACGTGTCTAAAAGTGTCGTCGTGAAAGCTTAGTAGCAGGTTTACGTTCTATTAGAGGTTAGCGTGTGCGTATGGGAATAAGGGCGTCCTAGGGTGGGTGGTTGAGATCAAATTGCGGTAAATCCACAAACAATATCGATTGGTCAAAAGTTATCCCATCAAACGCAGACGCTTTTAATTAACAAGCAGGAAAATAGGTCATTTATGCAACAAGTTGCAAAAAGAAGATTTTTTAGGGCTTTTGCGACGAATTGCAAATTGCATACAGTAGTACTTTTCGACACTGTTATTTTAGTTAGGCCATTATGTTGTTCTAAACAGTGTCGAAAAGTAGCACTTTTAAGCACTTAGTACCAAAATAGTTACTTTTAGCACAAGTTGCAAAATGAAGATTTTTTCAGCAGAGTCGTACATTTATCTAACGAGGCTTGCCGACTGGGATAATTACGACAAGTGCTGAAAAAAATGGCATTTTTTGCACTCATGACATGCAAAACAGAGACACTTTTCAGCACTGAGTGCCATAAAAAATTTAGCTAATAATTATTCACGTAGAACTACAACAGCAAACAATAAGCAAACAATCCTGCTTCTCCATCAAAATACTAAGGTGGACATATAATGGAGACGCATGGTGTGAAAACGATTTTAATGTAGTTCAGATTGCTCTTCCCAACAATGATACGTCCAAATATTCATACTGTAGTTGAAAACATTCCCATTATTGGTTACGTTCTTAGGTTCCCCATATTTATTCGTTACTTTTGACGTTGGATAACGTCTTTCGGCAACATACGGGGGTACAAAATTGAAAACAGTCATTTTGGATGCGTTACGATAAATTAAAAGATTTTGAACAATAATAACTCAACCGTCTCTCGATAGATTTACGAGATAATGGCATCAATCGATTGGAAATATTTCTAGCAATTTGCTGAATGTTTCAAAACTATTGATTTCATTCTGTAAACTATTGAAAAATGGTTAAAAGTAAACCATTGTCTAAAGATGGTGAAAATCGATTGATTTTTTTATATTCTTATACTTTCTCCAACCGAGACATCAGATGCGAGTATCTGACACCTCTGATATTTTCTGTTCTACTATATAAGCGTCTAACAAGGTCACCCGTTCCATCATTGTCTATCCGATCGTCGACCCAGCAGCAGAGCAGCAGAGCAGCGGAAGCAGAGCAACGGCAGCAGAGCAACGGCAGCAGAGCCTGGGGGCGAAAGGGCAACTACGCCGAGTGCGTTGGTGCCAGTGCTCCGGTATACTGGGCCGCCGTCATGGAATGCCCAGCTGCTGCAGTTCTCAGTCGGTCGTATTCACCGTCTGCTCCGCAAGGGCAACTACGCCGAGCGCGTTGGAAAAATGGCCCTTTTCAGAGCCACAACATTATCAAGAAAGAGTTTAACGTACGTATGCGAGTATCTGACACCTCTGATATTTTCTGTTCTACTATATAAGCGTCCAACAAGGTCGCCCGTTCCATCATTGTCAACAACATCAGCCCAACAAAACGGCCCTTTTCAGGGCCACCAAACTTTCGCAAAAGAGTTATTAAGGAATATTCCTAAAATATAATATACACAATTAAGTACAACACATAACAGACGTTATCCAACGCCAACCCTGCGGTCGTATCTAGTATACAACCCTTCCAACTTTTTTAGACAACATTACTACTCATTTTCCAGATGCCACAAACGGAATAATTTTCTATTACGAAGTATGTTATTTAAATTGACATTACAAAGAAGAATAATGCTCGAAACAGTCAACAATCTAATGTATAGATATTGTATTGCTTACCATTCTGTTTGTATGTATGTATGTATGTTTGTGTGAACAAACCAACCCGCAGCTTCACCGCACTCCGTCCAACCCTTATCAAATATGAACCAAAGGTGTCCACGCCCATGTAGGTGAAATGATTCTAATATGGGTACTGCGGACTGCAGCAATTTTATTTTCGAAGTCAATCGAAAACTGCTTGAAAATGCTCTCAAGTAGCAAATTGTTTTGCTCTTCTTCAGTTGAATACCGCCTAAAATTCTAAGCCAGGAGTGCTTGAGCCCCCATGACTCTCATGAAGTTTGCTTACATTATTGTTTCGCCTGAGTATGAATTATTGAAAATGCAACTCAGCTGAGTCATCAAAACTGTGCTGGTTTGTAAGCTTTCTTCACTGAGCCTTTTGGTGTCGTTACAAAAAAGTGTGATTCATTTCTATAAGATGACAATACTTGATGATAGATACCCAAGTAACAATTCAAGCTGAACAGTAAGAACAAAAGCTGATTATTGGTTGATTTAAGGTGTACAAAGCTGATTAACAATAGGCTGAATATATTGTTGATTAGTATTGCATGAAGCTAATTGTATCCCCATAATCCAACCTCAATAAGTTAGCTGATCTAAATATTGAACAAGGCTTATTTAAGCTTAACACAACTCCAGAAATCAGCAATGCGTTACACATATTTTGATAGTTTGATTTGTTAAATGTCGTCAGTATCTGTGTCACTCGTTGCATTTCCGGCATTTTAGTTCTTCTAAACTTACTGCCTACACGGCGAATGAGAACGACTCAAATTTGAGTTTAGTTCACTCATAATCGCCAAAAGTGCAGGAACTCAGCGATGAGTTAATTTGCCTCATGTTTTCCCAGGTTTTTCCAGGATTTTCCAGGGAAAAATTCCCGAATTTGAGAAAAGTAAAGATTGGATTCACTCAGTCTATTGGTACTACTCCGAGACTGAATAAAATTTTCGTCAATTTCCTCATTTTCCGGCAGATTTTTTAGGTTTTCCACAGGAAACCATGAGATAAATTTTACTCATCGCTGAGTTCCTGCACTTTTAGCGATTATGAGTGAACTAAACTCAAATTTGAGTCGTTCTCATTCGCCGTGTACCTTTCTAATTACAAGCAGTGGCAGCAATAGAGAGAAGGGAGAGGAGATTTTTTATGAATAGCTCCAGGTAGATGTGGGCTGCGACGACGTCGGAAGTATTAAAATTTGTATTTCTCTGTTTTGTCTGTTATATTGCACTGAAGTTTCAGACCGCATTCCAAAAATATTACTCAATTATGGCACTAAAATAGCATCCAAATGACCATCGATTATAAATCATGCTCTTGTGTCCACATTAAAAATGAGAGGAATATTTTACTGTCACCAGTTGTTGTTTACAATTCTGCATTGCTGTATAATGCTCTTCCGGTTGCTGTTATTCAACCTAAATTTTACGTACTTCAAGTCAATGATCATACCTTTTGCCACACATATGCTAAAGTGGTGCAGTAGGTATGGTTGACGCCTGAGAATCAGCGACTGCTAGTTCGAATCCCGAAATGCAAAGGTAGTTTTTAGACTTATATTAACATACTAAATATGTAAATCCAATATGTCCGCAACAAGTTAAAGCAGCTCCATGTAAATGCATAAGATATGAAGCGATCTTCAATTATTACTTTTGAAAAAAAACTAGAAGGCTGAACAAGGGTTGGAAAAGACTGTTGTTTAATGCCTTAAAAAGCTTATAATGTATATTAATGTTAAGCTTTTGGCTGATTAAAATCACCAGATTTAGATGTTTAAAAGCTTAACAAAGGTTAACATGGTCTATGTACAGCAATTATTCAATCTAAGGCTGAATTAAAATCGATTAAAAAACACTTGTTAAGCATCAAATTATTACCTGGGTAAGAAGAGTGACTACATTTGAGACTTCTGAATGTTAAGTTCCCGTTTGAAAGACCGCATTGGCTCCCAGATGACAAACATATGGAGTGACACAAGACCCAGGTTATAAAAGGTTCTAATCAGCGATGCCAGATCTACGGAATGATCCGTACACCCAACCGGGAAAAGTAAAGTTCTATTACGGATTTACATGAAAAGTTTGAAGAATTTGCAATGTTTCGCGACATGAACAGATTCAGTAATGTGCTCTCCAGAAGGTTTAAAAAACTGTGATTTTCTTGTTAGTTTATTTCGTCTATCCTATGCATTGCGTCTATAAAATCATCTCGTGAAGGTTTTATTCAAAAAAATGCATTCTGAAAAAAACTTGCTTGTTCACTTCAGCCCATTGCAAGAACTGCCATTATATTTTTTGTATGAAACATATGCAGAGGATGTAATAAATCCAACCTTACATTGGATGTAAGAGCAATTTATTTTGCGTGTAGACAACATCCACGGAATTTTGCTTTTTTCCTACGGGGTTATACAGAGTTATGTCATTTTCTAAGTAAATTTATGGATTATTCACTTTTAATGCGAATGGACGCTTCCGTAACCCCAATAGAGTGCTATGATGTTTGCGCATTTAGAGAAGCCTATACGAAAAAACAAAAATACCCAACGGTTGAGTTCTTTAAACTTACTACTGAGTTGTCCTTTTATTCGCTCTCACGTTTGTTGTCAAAAAAGGAAGAGCAAAACCACCCAACAGGGGTCTTCAGATGCGGAAAGTTAAAGTTAAGTAAGTGATGCACAACTTAATATTGAGTAGCTTAAAGTTGACGTTGGGTGAAAAGAACTTAGTAGTGAGTAGTTTGTTTACATGTGTACGAATAACAACTATTTAAAGCCTTTTAACTGAAAATCAACTTCCTGCACGCAACCTTCGATCTGGGTGAATAGCACTCAATATAAGGTTTTTGTTCCGTGCATAGACTTCTCTGATATTTGCTGAATGCCTGTGCTGATCAATGAGGTTGTTCCA